AGAGCAGACATGCTGACGAAGACCTTACCAAACGAAAGATAGGAGATATGCCGATAGCTGGTCGGCATGACTTTACATTGAGAAGTCATGGGACAGCCTCCCTTATGGGCTGAAGGGGGAGGTTGTTGGGCTGATGGCCCATATTCAGCCCACAGCCCACACCCCCTTTTAACCTAACCCTAATTAAGATTAGGGAGGTGTGGTGGCTACGTTTTAGAGGCAGATTAAAGCTATAAAAAGGCAGCAACGAGGCAGATCTTGGTAGCCACGAGATTCCAAAGAGAAGAAGGAGAACAAGGCAGAAAAGGAAGAGAAAGAAAGGGAAGAAGATAAGGACAACGCAGAGAGACTGTTCTCAATCATCTAGCAGTGTTCTCATCTCAGGTTAGATCAAATCTACAGTAGGCTCTTGCTGTGATTACTTGGGAGGTTTTAGATATTGTGGGCAGTGACGTGATCCTTGTATCCCAGTTATTCTCTTATGGTTGTTGCTAGGGTTTTGGGCAAGAGATTGAGATTTGTACATTCATTATTCTCATAGTGGATTATCTCTAGTTTGCCCCGTGGTTTTTACCCTTCACATTGAAGGGGTTTTCCACGTATATCTTGGTGTTCTATTTGATTGTGTTTCTATTTTATTCCGCTGCGTATTTTGGTCTTCTAGTATTTGTTCCTATACAAAGGTTATTCCTGTTTATATCCCATCATTTCCCACTGTCTTTTTCGTAAAGAGATTTTCTAACCTTTGCCAAACAACATCAGCTTTGATTTCATCTGAAATATGCTCATGCAAGTTTATATCCATCCATCTTCTAATATAGGCAATAGCTTTTCTATGTTGAACTTCTCATTCTTCATCGTCCATAGTAGAAGGTTTATCTTTAATCTTGATAGGCTTATATAAATCTTTGCAATATAGCAAATCTTCCATCAGACGCCTCCAAGTGGAATAATTTGATGACTTCAATTTAATCATACCATCTGACTGCTCCATTTCAATCAAACAAGAAAAACTAGCACCAAACAACCTAATGCTCTGATACCACTTGTTGAGAAAAACCTGTTAAAGCGGGATAATTCTTTTCCCTCTTTGTGTATCAAAATGAGTTCCTCATCAAAATACCAACTTGATATCCAAATGAAAATATCAACCAGCACAGCATAAACAATAGAGCAAATAATCAACCACACAGTGAGACCAAATCTTTTAACGTGGAAAACCCAATGTGGGAAAAACCACAGAACCATAGTCCACCTCAAACTTCCACTATCAATAATAATGATAATAAGTTTACAGTAGGTCTTCTCTAGAATAACTAGAGGATCAGAATAACATCAAGATTATAGATCTTGTTCAAGAATAGCATATCTTCATCAGGATCTCCTTTCAAGAATAGCATATCTTCATCAGGATCTCCTCGTGAGCGAATTCTAGATCTCATAAAGTGGATATAACAGGAAAGCACCTTAGAGAGTGTAAACTACAGATCAACACCGTTATGATTGTAGAGTTTGCTGCAAGGATTCTCCACATAAAATTTGGGCCGAAACTGACAACGTTTGGCTATCGATCGTCAAGCAGAAAAACTCAAAAACCTAATCTTTCTCTCTCCTCTGCACGCCGTACTCCGCAAGCTTTCACTGTACGTGCACACACTGCCGTCACCCAATTTTGCCCTTTCTCTCTTTCTCTGATTTGGGCTCGAACGATCCAATTTATCCAAGCCCGCATATAGGCTGTACCCAACATTACTAGTAGCTAATTTGAACTTATTTTTTTAAAAGATAATATCCTCTTAACTATATGTATCAAAACTGAATTAAAGTGTCGATCAAAATAAAATATATATTAGATGGAGGATCAAATTTTGGATAATCCTCATAAATATAACGACTATTTGAATGCCTCGTCAACCTAATACAATAGGTAAATACCTCGTACGATCGACAAAACAAATGATAATACTAGTCGTAATACTCATTTGGAGGACTTTTCATATCTAAGTAACGCCCTACATCTTTAATTATCCTTTTTATGTCTTTTATGCAAGTTTCTCAATTACCTAACCTCACGATGCTTAGGAAATAGTTACCAGCTTTTACTGGGGATAAAGTTTTATCAAGTCTGTTTTTTATCCGAAAACATACTGATGAAAGAAAAGGCTTTGATGATGAGTACAAAGAGGTCATAATACTGCTGCACATTTCCAGTGTTATCCCCAATCTGGTCCACCTTTCTTATGCAACGAAAGGGTTACACCACTTTTTATTTTTATTAATATAAAATGTCTCACAGCTGAGGAGGAAAGAAGCAACAAATGGTGGACATGAGACCATGCACAAGATTGGCTTCCAACTTCTCGATGTTATTGGGGTGGAGTGGATGCAGAACTGCTACATAGCAACTATCAAAAACATAGAATCGAATTAAGTATGAACGAGAGCAATAATTTCAGCTTAAGTATTCATTATTCATTATTCATTCATTCATTTAGGAGTCCTAATGATCCTCTGCAGTACAACAGTCCGAGCTCGCCTGATGTCCCTGCTGCACTTATCATTCTGCTCCCCCAAAGCCTCCACGCTCTTCGTGAACACCTCCAACTTCTTCTTGATCTCCTCGATCCCAATCTTCACTGCCTCCACATCCTTGATGGCGAAATCAGCATTATCCAAAAGCGAAACGATCTCGATTTCCAACTTGTCGATCGACACCCGAATGCTATCCAAGTCCTTAATGACGATGAAGGTGCCTACTTGCATGGAGCCAACCACCTCCTTTTGCCCCTGCACAGAATTTCCGTAGTCCTTCAACAGTGAGTCGATCCACTTCGCCATCGACCCGATCGGGATCGACGCAGCAGCGGCCAAAGCAGCAGCGACTGGCGGCGCAGAAACAGCAGCTGCGACCACTGAGCAGATCAGGACGGCGGCCAGGGTGGCCGCAAAGATTATGCTCGAGACCTTCCTCCATGCCTTGATGGACTTCAGCTTCTTGTCGAGCTTGTTCTTTCTCAGCTGCAGCTTCTCGAGCATGAGCAGCTGCTGCCTGTAGACGGACTGGAAGACCCGAAAGAACTCTTCCGTGAAGGGGTCGCCGGCCGTGTTGAAAAGCCTCAACTCGTCCAAGGTCCTGGAATACTTCTTGTTGCAGTCCTCGGCTTCGGTTTCGTCTTCCCCCTCCGCGAAGCGCTGCAGCGCAACGTGGATGATGAGTTGGCTGTCGCGAGCTCTCTTGAGGCACCTCTCGAGGGCGGTACAGAAGTCGAGGGTCTGGAGGCTGTTCTCGAAGTAGTCCTCGACTAGGTCGAAGAGCTCGGGGCTCTTCCAGATGTCTCGCTTGCAGGCCAGGATGACCTTCACCACCTCCTGGTTCATCTCCAGAAGACAGCTGGTGATCTCCCGGAGGGAGTCGAGGGAGAGGGAGCGGACCTCGACTCCGAGAGCGAGGGTGGAGATGGCGCGGCTGGTGCGCTGCTGGAGCGTGGTATCGAAGGTCTGGAGCTCAGGGTCGAGGCGGCAGGCGGCCGCGTAGGAGCTCAGCTCGGCCACGTACCGGATGTTCGCATGGCTCGCCTCCCCGGCCGCCGGTCTGGAGCTGCCGCCACCGTCGACCAAGAGGACCGGTGGCGCGTCAGGCCTCCTGCTCTGGTGAGCGCCCATCTAAGAATCAAATGCAAACTAAAGCTAAAGTTGCGATTTTTATCGACCGAAACCACTCAAAATGGACGGAAAATCGAAACTTTGGGAATAAATCAACACAAACCAGATCGAAAACTTTGGAGTTTGTTGGATTTCGAGGTAAACGTAATAAAAAAAATCAAAGCTTTGGTGGAAAGGGAAGCGGAAGAACTTGTGAGACTGATTGAATCGAACAAAAGCACCGAGAAAGAAGAGACAACGGAAGAGCTGGGTGTTCTTCCACAAGTATAAATCAGAAAAGATCAGATTGGATAAGGGAAAGAAGCAGAGCAATGCGGATAAGAGCAGTGTGGAAGACGAGGAGGTTACTGCTTCAAGAGATAGAGAAGTGCACGAGGAGGAAGAGTCCGGTGGATGCCTTGCACGCATGAGAAACGAGGAAAGAGGAGGGAGGTGGCAAACGGAGTGATCTATCTGTGTCTCTCTCCCGGAACGCACACACACATTTTGGTTAAAGTTGCGACGCGGGAAGCAAAGCTGAAGCAGGGTGGCAAAAGAAGGAGTGAGAATATCAAAGTAACCATAGGGAAGAAAGCAAAATGGAGTTTGGGGAAGAAGATGCCAAGAAAGGTGGTTGTCTTGCTAGAGAGAAAAAGGGTGTAGTGATGTATCATATTTATTTATCAAACTTTAAATATTTAAAATATTTTTAGATAAATCTAAATTATTAGCTTGATGATAATGTATCTGACTCTAAATCTCAGCTGAATCATTCTTCATCAGCATGTCCCTGTTTGATCCTATATCACCTGCATGTCCATGTAGCTTCTTTCTTGATTCCATACTAGAGCAGTGAAACAATTTTTGGTGTATCATATATCTCATCTTCATTGGAACATGACATGAACTAGGTTAGCACAGTCTGCCAAGCAACAGCAGAGGTTTGTGTGTGAATTAAGCAACAATTCATTCATATATGTCAGCAACCCTGACAGTCGAGACTCGGATTAAGCTAATCGCTGCATGTGAATTGTATAAGCTAATCGCCATTATCATTTTGGTTGGTGATGCTTCGTTCTCCACATCAAGGCCGAGAACAGACCAAGCAGTGGGTGTTGGTGGAGTAGGGGGGGAAGAGATGACTCGGAAGAGCAGCAGAGGAAGGCAGCGGCTTAAGACTTAAAAAAGAGTACAAGCGAGGGTGATATATAACATAACGGACGTTTTATAGGACCCGTTACAATGGCTTCCTTCAGGGCGAGCGCATCGTCTTGGCGTCACGTAGAGACCAAACTAACGTTGGGATGGTAAGATCAAACGTAAGCGGAAAGTGCGACGTGTTATCATCGACGATCCGATGATGAGTCGATGAGACGTTTTAGGAGACGCACGTGAAGCGTGAGCTTCTCAATAGTAATGCACAAAGGTCTAACCAGCGCGGATCTTAAAGGCGTCAATCAAGCCTGTGCACGGCTCTTAAAGTGTGGATGGACGCTTGGAACTGCACAATAATTATTAGCAATTTCCAGCTTGATGGTTCTATGGAGGAACAAAAAACATAAATTATGCGTAAAAATGCAACTTTGAATTGCATGGCTTAGTTCTCTCACTTACATGCTAGTTTACTTGCATAAATACATCAGAATGTCTTGTTAGATTTTAAGATGGATCCATATGAGTTGGAACATGTCAAGTCGGAGGATCCTTGAGTTGAAAAATCCATCAATATCTACTCTCAACTTTTACTTCTCCCCTTGTTTTCACTTGATTCCCTGACATTTGAGTGAAAAGGAGAATTTGAAGATCCAGGTATCCCAAGAGAGCATTTGTAGCCATTGCTGCTGCTCTTGAAGCTATCTTGCAGACCTGAAACTAAAGTATCAGATCCATGTATATATATATATATATATATATATATATATACATGGTCCAAAAATAATTTATGTTAATGATCCTTGGAGCATCAGATCTTGCACAGATGCAAAAGTCCTTTCTGTTGAGCAAGAATTACATCACACAAATCTTTGTTCAAAAATAATTTTCGCAGTCTTCTTTACTTGTATGTGAAAGAATTACATCACACAAATCTACGTGTACAACCCATCGGTAAAAGTCTGAAAGGGACAGCAAGTGTTCATAGCCATGAGAAGACGATGACCACAAGGCCATGCAGCAAGCATCATGTCTTGTGGGAGATGTGGCACTTGTATGGGCACCGCACCGCATGGTGATCGGGACTTGGTTCTTGATGGAAGGAAACAAAAGAAAAAAAAAAAGACAGTGTCATGTTCCAGGTAGCAACCAAAAGCAAATGCAGAGAGCAATCAACCATCTCCTTTCTGTGACAGACATGCCATGTGACGACTTGTTTTCGGATACAACAACAGTCCCCCGAACTAGGTAGGAGGTGCTCGATGCCTTCCAACTCAAGTGAGGTATATGCTTGGAGTGCAAAGTTCATTAAAGGCAGTAGCAGATCTGATATGAGACTTGTTATTAGATCCAGTCGATCGAATATTTGGCGTGTGATGTTGATTGCTATTTGTTGTCTATTCATCTCATCCTGTCCTTTTAAAAGCTTAAAAGAATAGATACGATAGAACATATTTAGTTTATATTCTGAACATTCATTCGCCTGACGAGAGAGTTTGTGGAAGGACAAGATCAATCTAGTTGCTTTTCTTTTTTAATGATGATTTGACACAAAGCAAACATCACTTAGATACCATATTAAATTTATTGATCATCCTATTGATTTATACTATCTATACCAACCTTATTGAGTTGTAAACTAGTTAGGTAGTCGATCTCTTTAGCAATATTATCTATGTTGATGATGGAATGCTTGCTAATCCAATTACATGGCACTTCTTCATGGACCACTCTCAAAGCGCCGGTGACACCGTCACTCCATCCATCATGTTCAAACCATGGACAGAAGGGATTTGTTTGCATCGGACATGGGTTTTGACCTGCAAGAAACAATAAGATCAGTTGGGTTGTTTCCATCGCTTACTAAATAGCAACAAATGTGTGTGTGGTTTTTCCTTTTTCTTTTAAAAAAATCATCTCTTATGATTTTAATATTCTATAAAAGCATAAAATATCTTCGTTACGGATATCAGTAATATTTTTGTCAATAGATTGTTTATCATTTATATTTGCTTTTACAATTGTTTGGTATTGTATTTTACCTATTTTTTGTATCTTTTTATTAGGTTTTTATAAACAAAACATGATGATTACTTGTCAGGCTACGTAAAATTATTTTAAAATGATATAAATTTTACGTGTTACGATTTGTTTTCCATAGACTACGATGTAATGAACTCTTGAAACATCCTATTACTTTTCTTATAATTAAAAAAATATCGATTAGTTTACGTTATGTATTTTAGTGAGTATTTTTCCTTCTAATACCTGCTTGATGATTAATAAATCAGTTTCCAATTGGGTGTTGAAAGGTCCAAACTGAAATATGTTTGAGCCCTTCTCGGATTGCTAAAGCTTCACATTGAATTACGAATATAGATGGATAATAAGCTTTTACTCGCCAGTGAGCAGTTCGAAATGGTCCCTTAGAATGTAATCCAAATTGACTATCATGTGTGTCGAATTGAAGCTCGGAAACATTTAATTCAAATTGACTATCATGTGTGTTGAATTGAAGCTCGGAAACATTTAATTCACCAAGCCACCACCATGTAGGTTGAAGTTATAATCTAACCCACAAAGCTTCATAGTGGGAGTTCATCATGCACTCACACCCACATGGCCGACGACATGTTTGGCCGAGTGGCATGTGTGTATCGACCTCATCTGACGCCACACGATATGTCATGTCGACATCAGCACATCAAAGCGAGTATATGATACCGATTCTTTTAACCATCCCAATGGCTTCTCGAATCTTCACATGTAATTTTTTTTTTTTTTTTTACTTCATATAATACACATATATAATTAAAATATATTTATTATTCTAGGTTAAGATGAACCGGTGTGATGTAATGCTGTTCAAGTTTGCCATGATTTGAATCGTTCAAGTTCGATGATGACATTGGATTACCTTTTAATGAAAATAAATTAAAATCAAACGAAAAATCGAACATGACCTATTATATCAGATCGAAATTTGATTAAAATTAATAGGAAAAAATAAATAATGCGCGCTGAAAACTATGCTTCAACAATACCTACGTTGTGATTGCGTGAAGCGGTGGCCCCACCACACAGGTCCGCCATCACTGGGAAGCCGACGGAGTGGGCTTTCCCTTTGCGCTTCCGATACCTCCCCTCGAAACAGTCCTTTTCCCGTTCCCCCACCGAAACAATCTTCTGTTACTCCAACACACTGTACCCCGCACGCAAAACTGAGTCCGTCAGTGGGTCCCGTGGTAGCTTCTCTGTTCGTCTCGGCGGGTACAGTACGCCCCCTGGTACTATAGCAAACACGCCCAGACTTCCGCGTCCGACGTCTACCCCGAAGGAAGAGCCCGACGGCGTGCCCGCATCGCATCGAGTTCGTGGAGAGCGGTGACCGTCATCGGTGGGACCCGCACAAGTTCCCGATTTGTAGGATGCGTAGGGGAAGCCGCCCACTCCATGTCCTCGCTAGTGTTATAACTCCTCCTCTCTCTCCACTCGGTATCGTCTCGATTGCCGAAGCAACGACGACGACACCAATTTAAAGACCAGACTCCGTCCCCGAACACCAAAAACTAAACGGCTTCTGTGATTTGATTCCTTTATTATCTCCTTTTATTCCCTCCCCTCCTCTTCCCTTCTCGTTTCCTCTCTTCTGTCCTTTCTCGGATTCGTATTATATACAGATTAGATCGAGGGAGTTGCTACCAGCAGAAGCCCTCGCCCTCGCTTGGTCTTCGGGGATTAGGGACTCGAGGGGGAGGAGGGGGAAGGCGGCGGCCATGGATCTGGAGAAGAAGCCCGTGGTGTCGGACGTGGGGGCATGGGCGATGAACGTCGTCAGCTCCGTCGGCATTATCATGGCCAACAAGCAGCTCATGTCGCCCAACGGCTATGCCTTCGGCTTCGGTACTCTCCTCCCTCGATCTGATTCTTGTCTTGGTTCTTCGCGTTGGGAATTGAAGTTAAGGGCGTAACGATTTGATCTTTCTGTTGGAAACGAAGGATTGCTGCCGTCGAATTGTCTTTTCTGAGAAAAAGGAAAGATTTTCGTGTTAGAGAGAGATATGAAGTTAAATGTTCTAACCCGCCTTAGATCCACGGGCGATATTGATATTGTGGCAGATGTTAGCAGTGATGGCCTATTGGCGTTCAGTTGAAACCTCGCATAAGAAATTTTCATCGGAGACCTTTTCGGGTCTGTCTTTCTTGAATCTGCGCTGTAGATCTAGGCTTCAAAGACCCAATTAAAGGATCCTGAAGCTATGATTAATGTAAAAAGTCATGGTCGGGGCTTAATGTGATAAGCGTTGTCACAGTCAATTATTTTTCTCTTAAATTGTGGGGAATTACGTGGTGGATTCGAAAAGTTACTTTTTTTTAACATCCCAAGTTTGTCTTTTTCTTTTTTGGACTCCTTGATTTCATTCAATTTCATTGATGTTAGTTTATATTATGCAGCAACAACGCTGACAGGGTTTCATTTCATTGTCACTGCCCTTGTTGGTTGGGTTTCAAATGCAACCGGTCTCTCTGTATCCAAGTATGTTCCTTTTTGGGAGCTCTTTTGGTTCTCCATAGTCGCGAATCTGTCAATTACTGGGATGAATCTCAGTCTCATGTTGAACTCTGTTGGATTTTATCAGGTTTGTAAGTTTGTGCCTTGTGTAGTGAAAGATGATATGGTTGAATGTGTGATTCAAATATGACTCGATTGGTCTCTTTTTTACAATATGCAGATCTCCAAACTGAGCATTATACCCGTGGTTTGCTTTATGGAATTTTTGTTGCACAGCAAACACTACTCACGGCAAGTGATTCTGGCCGTTGCAGTTGTGGCCTTAGGAGTTGGTATTTGCACAGTCACTGATGTGGACATCAATGCAAAGGGTCTACTTTGTGCCTGTGTGGCTGTTTTTTGCACATCATTGCAGCAAATTGTGAGCATCTCTACTCTGACTGAGCATGATTAAATTCCATGTCCAAAATGTTTTCTTTGCCCCTCTGTCTTTTTTATTCTGAGACATGCACATTGGAAACCAGTTATATGCCAAATTTGCTTCTTACAAGATGTTGACTGTCAACATTTATCTGAGCTACTATGCCTTTGCGATGTTGAACTGCTTTTAAAGCTTAACGACTAGTAATCTTATGAACCTAAGGTGTATCATACTGAAACCGAGGGTTGGATGATTATAGATGAGGTCAGATTCATCGTTCTAATGTTCTACTTAACTAATATTTGACAGCATGTTCCTAGGTTACCAACAACTAGATGCTTACAAGTTAAAAATTTCATGCAAGGATATTCTATCTCTTAGTTTTTCTGTATAAGCATGCAACAATACCAAAGAACAATAAAAGTAGTTGTTAGGACACTTTGAGCGGAATGGTGCTTCGTTTGTTCATTCATTTGCTTGTATATCTTCCTATTATTCTTCTCAGTGAACCATGCTTTGGATCTCTAGCTTATGCCTTCACTTTCACTTTGAAACACTACTAGGATGCATCGTTTTTTTCTAGGTTGGCATATGGCTGTTTACTTTTAAATAAAATTTCTTGTGGTTAAATTATTATGTTGATTTCAATCCCTTCTTTTATTTCTTCTATTTTTAGGTGAAACTTCTAATAAGCTAATGTTCTCTGCCTTTCGGTGGTTTATGTTTATGCTAATTTCCATATGAGAATATTTTTCAACCGAAACTGCTTTTTGAAGTATCAGTATCGTCCGTTAAAGTTGTTCAATTATTATTTGTTTGTGTTGTACAGTTTCCTAGCGAGTGACCACTTGAATTAATGTGGACTATTTAGTGTTCACACGGTCATTCAATCTTTTGTACCAATTGATAAAACTGAATATGAAAGTGCAGATGTGTTCATAATTCATAATTTGCATGCTCCGCTCCCTATTTGTAAATGTATGGTTGTGGTAGATATCTTATAAATGACAAATGGAACTCCCTTTAAACTGTTTGATTAAGCTCTTGGAATTTTATAGCTTTCTTTGACCAGCTGATTTTAAAGGTTCTGTATATTTTAGAGAGTTGACTCAGATTAAACAATAATTTTAGTACTTGAAAATTTGTAGTTTTAAGAAGGGCATGAAACTTTTAGCAGCAAGATAAAGATGATTGCTTTACCACACATTTCCATGAGAAGATAAACAACTCCAAAGTAAAAATTTTGGTGAATCAGGATTGTTAGAATCTGAACTCAGGAATGAACAATAGGATAATTATAGCCTCAAAGTATGTGCAGCCAAACCCTTACCTATATCTTGTTCTTTAAATCTGCAGACAAATCCATTGATAAACAAATTTGTGGGACAAATAAAGACACTAAATTCAAGGTGAATTCTTCTCATTTGAGTATTATATGTTTCTGATCTTTAGCCATAGTGATTAAGATTCTCTGCAGAAACAATCACTATGCTGTCTCCTTTTCTCCCTAACTATATCATATTTATTTTCTCATGCCCACTCTTGCGCATCCAAATTTAGTTCTTCCAACCATTCATTGAGTGTTAATATGTTGGTATTGTTAGCTTTGGTGATCCAGGTCCACTGTGCAAAAACTGTGGCTATGCTCTCTCCTTTTTCCCTACATCGTAAGATACATATTGAATTGGATCCTCTTTTACAGATCTTTCGTTCTTCCATCTCTGGTAATAAAGTCGATAAGCTTTGCTGATAGCAGTTTTGTCGCTTTTCTTCCAGATGACTGATTGGTTGATTGTGTTGGCTTGATGGAGATTATCTTTCAATTATTCTAGCATATTATTTGTTCTTCCAACTTAGGGTAAAGATGTATGGGCCATCAAGAGGTCTCACATATATTTTCATTCTAGCTGTGTGTTTAGAGGTTCTTTGAATAAAGGGAAGCACAAAGAAGTATAGTCTGTAAAATCATGATCATGGAAAATAATCTCCATTAGTCCTTATGCTTTTTTTTTTTTTTCTTCTAATGATAAACTTTAGGAAAATTTCATTTTTTATGCTCATTGAGATGGACTCTTTTTTATCAGATTTATGTTGGATCATGTTATATGATAACATGACATAAGATTTAGATGCAGAAAACTGTAAGCCTGTTTGCTTTATGTGAGATTTAAATGCAGTTACTCTGTCAAACTAATAAATTAGTATCATGATGCAGGTAACTTTGTCGGAGCTGTGTAAATACAGCTTGGTTTCTATATTTTGTCATACAGCAGGATTCATCTCATTTTTTTAGTCTCTATTTTTGTTTGCAGCAATGCATTTAGCCATTCTCTAGACCGATTATTTGTAGCTCTAGTTGGTTAGTTATCTCATGGTATTATTTTTATTACAGACAATTGGGTCTTTCCAGAAAAAATATAATATTGGTTCTTTTGAGCTCCTAAGCAAAACTGCACCAGTACAGGCAGCCTCACTTCTTATTGTTGGCCCATTTGCTGACTACTACCTCAACCACCGCTCTCTCTTAGACTACCGATTTACTTCAGGGGCAACTGTAAGTTCCATATCAATATTTCTATTGTCGGATGGGACTTCTGATTGCGCAGATTAAATCTAACTTGAACTTATTTTCCATTGTTTGAGACAACATCTACAATCCAATTATATGTTTCTAATCTCGTTCATGCAGTTGATCATAAACTACAGCCACATAACTATCATAAGCTTAACATGAAAGATCACTGGATACTTGTTGGAACTCTCTATAACCAAGTACTTGCACATGTTTTGCAATATGCCATGCGTACGGCCACATATTGTTATACAGATTCATATGCAATCCCCATAGGTACAGAAAATGTAGTCACATGCAATTTATGTTGACTCATTGTTATTCTGTCTAAAATTATATTCTTCTTCTATAAATCAAATGGAAATTATTTTTGTCCATGAAGATATCTAATTTATATAATTCGCATGGCCCTGGCTGAGGAGCTACTGCAATTGATGTATAGAAATGTCAGGTCCACAATGAACTAAAATTGCACGTCTTGGGACAGACGCAGTGGAAGTTTAATTTGAGTATTTTAAGTTACCAGACCCCAACTATCTATCAGTTTAAGACTATCATGCCCTATTGCAGAAGAGGGACATTTTTTTATTCTGATAAAAAAGGTGAAGGAGCAGGTTATGTAACATTTGTTGATTTCTCTTATTCCGTTTCTAAGGTACCTAATCAAATAGCTAATTTAGATTGAGAATTACGACATATGGCCTTCTCTGGTTGGAAATTTTTGTATTCTTTTTTGTTTTTTGTTTTTCTCAAAACATTTCATGTTTTGCATTTATTTACTTTAACATATTTGAAACTAAAATTAAATTAAATTATCGGCATGTGCATCACATATGCAAATAACCTAGTAGTTTTAATTATGTAAAACCTTAACTATTTTTTGTAACTTATCATTCAATTAACTTTTAAAGAGTGCAGCTATCACTCTAGAAGCTCTGCATTTGGTTATTATCTAAATTTGAGTATATATTTTTTTCTAACTAGTTACATATTACCTGCGAGTTGCACATGTGATATGATGATGACTGCTATTTGAACATTGTGCGAGACCCTAGACAGAAACACAACAAACTGCTATTTGGTAAGTTGTATCGATTGTAGTTACAGTCAAGCTCTGCATCAGAATGTCATCTTTACGAAAGAAGACTGCCTCTGTTGGATACACATTCCATTTTAGATGTGCCATCTACTGATTTCTCATTTAGCCTGGTTGACCTCTTTTTGCAGTTCTTCGTACTTCTCTCGTGTTCCCTGGCTGTCTTCTGCAACATGAGCCAATATCTCTGCATCGGCCGGTTCTCTGCAACATCCTTCCAAGTCTTGGGTCATATGAAGACCGTCTGTGTGCTGATACTAGGATGGATACTCTTTGATTCAGCTCTCACTCTCAAGAACATTCTAGGAATGTTGCTTGCGGTGCTAGGCATGGTGGTCTACAGCTGGGCTGTAGAGCACGAGAAGCAGGTAAACCGGGCGACGCATATAATTGCCGACAGCAAATCGGAGGGGGAGGATGTAAAGCTCCTGAAGGAGAAAGTAAATGGGCTCGCCAAATCTGACCTTGAATTGGGGCAGACAAAGAGCTAATTCTATTCTTCACATACGCATGTCCATCTCGTTCCTAATTATTCTTTAGTAATTTGATCATCGTAGTCACTCCACGATGCCTACAGTTATGTCTTAAGTGGATTTCTTTGCCATTCTTCATCTTCTACTCCATTTTACATGGGATCATCGTAGGCATTTGCTGTGTGCGGACAGATTTTTTTTTTGTAATGTTTGAAGGGTTGTCAAGGCCCTGAATCAATATTTGTCACTCTCGTCTTGTTGTTCTCTGTATCAGATAGATATCCAAGTGTTCAGTGTCTGGTCCGTTCTACATTTTTGGAATCGAATGGAGTGGTTCCTGACCTTGATCTCTCCACCGTGAGCTTCCCTAGCAGTCTGATTGCTTTGGTGTTGCAGTTTGTAAAGTCAGCAAGACAATATCAATCGTGGTATTAAATCTTGATATTGGATCTCATATCAGCCGCGTTTCTCATGGATCTAATATCATGTAGCAGTAAATGTCAGCACTTCAAATTAAATCCAAATACAAGATATAAACCAATCAAAGGAAATTATAATGGGTGATTCGTACGGAAGAGTCCTCAAGTTTTTCCACATAGCATTCCTTATTTCTATATTTCTCTCGTTCCCATTATAAAAAATAAAATAAAATATCTTTAAAATTTTAAATTATTTAAAAAATTAATACCCTAAGAAATCCGGACTATTGAGTTATCAATATACTAAAATTAATTATATATTATCTCTTATAATTAGTTGCTCTTAATATTTCGATCTAGTTAATTATATATATTATCTTTTATATTTAATTATACTTAATATTTTGATCTTTCTATTTTTTAAAATTATATTGGATCCTTATATTATATTTAATCTCGTTTTTAATAGAGTCAATATGTGCTCAATGATAAATGTTACTATGATTTTATTAATAAAATTAATAAAATAAAAAAAATTCACTCTCATAAATATAAAAATTTTAATATAATTTTTAAAAGTATAAATATTAAAATATTAAAAATAACTAATAAGGATAGTAATATATAATTAACCCCATGTACATGAGTTAGATGAGTTGTAATGGAGTGGCTTTCTTGGAACGAGCAAAAGGAGTTGTAATGGCTCACCTCCGACTTATGTATAAGAGAATCGACAGAAACAATCATATCATCTCTGACATGATGAAACTGGATTAGCAGCCATCCCAAGACTGAGATTGTGGCCGCTGATCACGATGGTGATCTCCCACGTCTTGCAGCTTCAGCCTACTTTCCACTGCCCCATTTGAGTCACGTCCCTTGTCGCCCATGCAACGTGGCCGCCATGCACGCATCCCTCCCACTGAGCTCTCCTTACTAAGTATTAGACACCCTTCCTCCTCCGTTACCGACCTAGGAGGGAGAGAAGGCAGATCAGAGATCAGAGAGAGCGGCGAAAACGATGAAGCCCAAAGCTGTGGTTTTGAAAGGAGCGATGCTGCCGCTGTTGCTGCTATGGTGTTTTGTGGCCGTCGACGGAGGGGGAGAGGAGTTCCCCGGCGTTGGTCCGCTTCTAGTGAGGAAAGAGAGCCGGAGGACGGTGGCCTCCACAGCGTCCGGGGAGATCACGGCCGTCGACGTGCGTGATGGCTACGGTGGCGCCTACCATCTCCAGTTCATCACCATGGCGCCCAGCTCGCTGTTCCTCCCCGTTCTCCTCCACACCGACATGGTCTTCTACGTGCAGTCTGGTATGACATCTCGAAACAGCTCAACACGAGAAAAGATGGACGCCTACATCAAATCTTGGTTTCTGCAGGCAGCGGAAGGGTCACATACGTCGAAGAGGACGAGAACCATGAGACCGAGCACATCGATGTGGTGCGTGGTGACATCTACAGGTTGGAGAAAGGCAGCATGTTCTACGTGCAGAGCCATCCGGACCCAACGAGAGACAACCTAAGGATTCATGCCATATTTAATGCAGTAGACACGGACAACACAAAGGTGGTAATCATCCCTCTAACCCAATCTGCCAACACACAAGAAGATTCATGATCATTCATGGCTTCATGCAGGAACTACCAGCTGCAGCTTACTCAAACATCAGTGATCTGGTCGGAGGTTTCGAGGACAAAGTACTCCAGATGGCATTTGGGGTAAGTCATGGTGATGAATCCATCTATGTAAGTAGAAGAGATTCGTGTCAGTGCATGGCTTTGATGCGTTGTTTCACCTTAAGGTTTCCGAGGAAACCATTCTGGCCATCAAATGGGTTGAGAAGCCTCCGGCCATCATTCCTTTTCCGCATACTTCGAAGACAGTATCCTTTGGAGCTCTCAGAGGGATCCGAAGTCTCACCGCCGAGGAGGAGAAACTCACAAACAAGAAGAAGACCAAGGCATTCAATTTCTTCGAGGCCAAACCCGATGTGGAGAACTGCAATGGTTGGAGCACTGCCCTGAGTCACAAGGACCTCAAAGCTCTCAAGGGCTCCAACTTCGGGGCGTTCATGGTGAACTTGAGCAGGGTAAGTATGAGATGAGACACGATCACATGGTATCGTCCCAATTCTTTATCATTGCATCTAAAAGCTTAAATCGACAGATCGAATATGATTTAAAAATTTTTTTATTGATGGAATATGATTTGAACACACAATGCTTCGCTCTAATGCTATATAATTCTGTGGTTGGTTGGATCTGAAAGGTTCAATCGGTAGATGAGACATGATGTGTTGTGTACTGACTGATATCAACCTTATAATGGTTGAAGAGTTCGATGATGGGGCCTTATTGGAACCCCAAGGCGACGGAGATCGCCATAGTGATCCAAGGGCGGGGAATGGTGGAAGCCGTTTGCATCGGCGAGCCATCGGAGGAGACGAGGTTTAAGGCCAAGGAAGGGGATGTCGTGGTGGTGCCGAGGCTTCACCCGGTGACCCAAACGTCCTACAACGACGAGGGCTTCATCTTGGTCGGATTCAATAACCTGGTGGGGAAGAACCGCCCGCAGTTCTTCGGGGGGAAGAGATCGGTGCTTCGGATCCTCGACAGGGAGGTCATGGCCATGGCATTCAACGTGCCGACAGCTATCGTTGAAGGCCTTTTGTCTGCCCGAGTTGAGTCCACGATACTTGCGTGTACCTCGTGTGCCGAGGAACTCGAAGGGAGGATGAAGGATCAATCGAAGGGTGAAGAGGAACACGAAGAAGAAGATGATGACGACGAAGAAAGAGCAGCTTGGAAGGTTGATGAAGAGGCGAGAAGAGAGGCCGAGAGGGAGATGCGGATGCTTGGAATGCTAGTTTGAATGTGTTCTTATCTTCAATGTTGTGGGAATAAGCTTTGGCTGTAGGTGACATTTGTGGATCTACCAGATGTCAATGTAAAAGCCAGACAGTCACAAGTCCAAAGAGAGCTACATAAATAAGCCAAGCCAAGCCAAGTAGAAAATGTTTCGAGTTCACAATCTGTAATAAAAGTTGGTTTGGTAGATATATAGTTGAACGCATCTCAAATCATGAAGTTTTTTTAGTACCAAGTGCAATGTTGTGACCGATATAGGATAAAGAAATGCCAAGGTGAAATGGCTATATTTCTAGTTCAATTTCATCAAACATCTCCCAACGCTGGAACAAAAACATACCTTCTGCGATTTCAGATTACTTTACAAGATCAAGAATTAAACATGATGCCGCTCCTGCCTGATAACCAGAACTGAACAACCATCAAGCAGAGACCAGTTCTTTACGAGTAATAACTCAGAAGCAGAAAACATACGCTAGCTGGTAGAGATGGTTGCTATGAGTCTCACATTTCTTCTCATCAACATGTAACTGAGACCTAAAAGAAAGTGACCATCACATGCCTTGCCATGATGCTGAACGGATTATGTACAAAGGCGCAATGAGTTCTAATTGCCGAAGGCAGTGATGTAGGAGACGACGACGGTGATGTCATCGAGCTTGCCTCCATAGTAGCGGTAGCCGGCTTCTTGGGCAGAAGTCGAGAAGGGTGTTTGCCTGTTCTTATCCTGGGCTCGTTGGCGAGCTAATGCAGCTATCTTCTGGGCCATCACTTGAGGTCCTAAACCAGCTCTAATGCCGTGAACGACAACAGCGGTGATATCGCTGTTGTACAAGTTATCAAAGAGTCCATCTGTCCCTGCAACGATCACATCGCCTGATTCGACTGGGAAAGTGAACACCTGCACACAAAATGTAAGCGGCATATATGAGCCTAAACAATAATCCAAGATGTCTATCGACAAAGATGTACCATGTCAAAAGACGAAAGAACAGCTAGGATCAAGGAGCTGCACTTGTAAGCACTTGAGCCTGAATGTTCTTTCAGAGACAGACTAGGGTTTGGAATCGAAACTTGTTTACGAATTATGTCAAACAATTCTAGGCCAAGAGTGGCACAAAATTTGCAAAACAACAATCTCAGCTAGGCTTAAAATTGACAGGTGCTTCATACTGGTCCAGCCGCACGACTAATCCGTAAGATCTCAGCTTGTTTCTTGTAGGGCTAGGCCTAAAATAAGTACTGATAAGTTGCTAGCAGAATTAATTTTACACAGAGTAAGATGAAGAAGACAGGTTTGGACTTTATCATCCTCCCAAACACCTACAGCCAAAAGGGGACTAAAAGCCAACCAATTCCTGTATTCAAAGCCCGTCTATTCCTGCTCCTTGACACCCAACAAAATAATCTTGAACTCCATCAGTTAGTTGAATGAAATCAAACGGATAACATTGAATTTACCACTATCAAATGGATCAATACTAAATACATGCACTCCAATGTGAATTTCACAAGAGAGTAGCACAACTAGTGGTTGAAGTATATGAGCACAAACCCATTTTTCCTCCTTTAATAAATAAAAGTATCAGCTAAAACCATTTCAAAAATAGAAATCGTATGAAGGGTACCTACAAAATTTGAACCCCATATCTGAAGCGCCCAATACAATCCCTAACCCACATAAAGCTCTAGTCGCAGCTTAATGAAAAAGTACCATAAATGGAGGTGTCAAAGTAAAACAGAACTAACCTGGGCAGCACTAGGTAGATCGCTTGCATTGCCACTCTCAAGTTGATAAGTGAAGTTGAAATCATGTTGCTGCACTGGTGACCTAAATATAGTGCACCCATCTCTAACAACAATGAAACCACTGTCACCAAGATTGACAGCACGAATGCCCTACAAGGCCAATTGCAACCAAAAACACCACTTAGTTACATACTAAGAATCAAAAAGCTTGTGTCAAGTTGCTACATGCAGGAGAAAAAAAAAAGGCATTACCATGAATCAAGCACAAAAGATTGTCTTAGATTGCTTTGGCCAAGTTCAACGTCAAGGACCTAAAGTCATTTGACCTTTGCACCAGATTCAGTGTAGCAATTCCACCACCTTTTTGGGCATATATTAAACCATCGTATACTGGTGCATATCATATGCATCATTTGTGCTTGATTTACCAGCTTTATATCAAAATTCGAGTACAGATAAGAACTGGCACATTACTTAAGAGTGTACAAACTTCTATTTCGGGAACCATGGAAAACCAAGACAAGTAACAAACCCCCAAGGGAGCATGGGGGGAAATGTTCTATTGAAATCGGTAACCCTTTCCATGTGTTTGAGGGACAGGAGACAATATCAAAGCTCCTTGACCAAGTAAACTACGTATCAAGAGTCAGATCAACGACACTAAATAAGAAAAGGTGAAAGGAGTTTGACAAAACAAAAAGAGTGTCAACAGAACTCTTTCAACAATTTCTGGATCACTTAGCTCTAATAGCATGAAAATGGGTGATTAGGTACATAATCACATCAGCATAAAGGAGAAAGAAGAGTAAACTAGGATAACCAGTCCCATTGTCCTCTTTACACACATTTCTTTCCTTTTCTCCTTCAATCCTAGTGTCCTATTCAGTTTGTACTTCTGTGTCCCTATTTTCCATCCTCCTAAAAAGATACCAAAAAGCCTCTTTGTCCAGGACAAAGTGAATCATAGTCCTTTCATCTCTTGATAAGCCACTTTTGTGTAAAAAAGTTAATGCTTGAATCAAATACAGCTCAGCATACTTAAAAGGCCAAAATGAGAATCTATGCTAAATTGGTCCACTAGACAAATATAGTAGGAAAGTCAATTATAATAATAATAATAATAACAACAATAAAGCAAGTTCCAACTATTTGAGGTCGACCATATAGATCTTTTGTCGATCTATAAAGAAATGTATCTTTAGTTAAATTACGGATATTTAAATCTTTATTTATACCTCTCTCTATTTTTCCTTATACCACTGATAATAATCATTTTGTCTCTTCTCTTCTAATTCCTGAAATCTATAGATCTCCTGATCACATGAATATACCAATTTAAATTTCTTTCTCATTCTATTCTTTATTGAACCAATATCTATTTATTCATCAATAATAATATTTATTTGTATATCTTTCTTGTTAACTTCATATATTCATCAAACTATTTTCATCTCAGCAATACAAATTATTTGTATATGTTGTTTCTTATAAATTTTTGTATGGATGCTCTAACAACTACCTTATAAATTTTTGTACGCAATGGGCACACAAGGCTCCTGATGTTCCTTGTCATTTTAATCGTCCTATTTATACTCTGTGAATAATATCTTTATCAATCTCTCCATCTTATTGAATACTTGATCCAAGATACATAAAACTTGTACTTAATAAAACTTCTTGTCATCCAATTGCACTATATCTTCTTGCCTATTCTTATTATTACTAAAATTATATCTCATATATTTAGTTTTAATTCTACTTAATCTGAAACCTATAATTTCTAAGGATTACATCTGTAACTCAAGTTTAGAGCTAATTTTATTTAAAATCTCATAAAAAAAGCAACCTACGAGGTCTATCTTATAAATGATTAATAAGTTTATTCATTATCAATATAAAAGTAAAGATTTAATGTGGACCCTTGATGTAGCCAACTCACTAAACAAACTCCTCATAATTCTAATACTAATGACTACATTATCATATATATCCTTTATAACATCAATATAATTAGTTAATATGCAATTCTTTTCTAAAATCCATTATGATAAATCTTTAGGAACTATATCATAGGCATTTTCTTAATCAATAAAAACCATATTCATATCTTTCTTTTTTCTCAATATACTTTTCTATTAATTATCTTAATAAATAAATAATTTATATTGTTAGTATCCTAAGCATGAAATTAAATTGATTTTAGAAGATATTTATTTTAAATTTATCCTGCTTTTGATTATTTTTTCCTAAAATTTTATAATATGATTGATGATTGTAATTGTCTAGAGTAATTTTGTATGTCATTCTTATTCTTGTAAATTGACACTAAAAAACTTTTTCTCCATTCACTAGACATCAATCTAAATCTTAAAATTTTGTTAAATAAACTAGTTAACCAAGCTATTCCTTGATCTCCTAAACTTTTTCAAACCTTAATATGGATGTGATCAAGTCTCACACTCGTACCTATTAGACTTCTTCTTTTACCTCACTGGTTTTGATTTTACAAACAAATCTCTGACTACTAAATCTATCACTAAAATCAATCGTTAAAGCTAGGTCATTTGTAGAATATTCATCAAATAATTTATAAAAATAATTCTATATATATTCTTTAATATCATTATAATTAATAAATATTCTTTAACCTTCATCTTTACTATATTAAATATTACATAAATCCTTACACTTTCTTTCTCGAGCTTTAGTAATTCAGTATATATTTTTACCATCATTATTAGTCATCATAGATCAAATAATACTAATATTATTCTCATCTAAGTTTTAAGCCATCTCATTTATCATTCTATTCTTAAAAATCCTTACATTATTATCTTTAAAATTCCATCGCCTAGTCCTAGTATCGTATTCTACTATATTTTTCTTCTACCATTTTCTACAACAAATATCATACATATATCAGCCACCTATGTTGATTCTTTAAGCTTTCACCAAGTATAGCTATACAACTCTTGCATATAACTTTATCTAACTCTCTAGTGAGAAAAAAAAATCTAACTATAGTTGTGACTACAGTAATCAAATGTTCATCTCTCTTCTTGAATTGAGCATTAATAATTCTGAAATCATACGAAGTGACAAAAACTAAAGTCATACGACACTCTTCATTCATCTCCATATAACCAAAGCCCTCATGCATCTCTTTAAATTTAACATATGTTTTCCCTACATGGGTTTAAATTTCCTCCGGTATTAAGTATTCCTTAAATGATATCTTCTAAGATTTTTTTTCAAAATTCTTTTTTTTTTTTAGTCATCTAGTCCAACTTGAGGGCATGAGCACTTCTAACATGCAAAACCTCTTCTCGTAAGAATAATTTTAAAACTATAATTCTATCTCCTTATATACAAGCATTCCTGTGCCATTTATGTCATTTCTATGTTGAACTTTTCCAATATACTAAATTTTAAACCCATTACTATCGATATATCTATATTTTTCTCTTAACTACTTAATCTTATAAGCAAATAATGCTTATTATTCTTATAGTCATAGTGTCAAACAATTCTAGCCTCTTTTGTGAAAATGCTCCTATATTCCAAGTTGCTAACCTAATCTTCTATTCTTGAATTAACTTCTTTTACTCGCATGGGTCCCAAACAATGAGAGATCTCTTACCTTCATTGCATCACATCCAAACATCAATGTGATGGGCCTCTTTTGAACTACCTCTTAGTCCACCCTTCACAATTCAGGACACCTAGATGACAAAGGTACCTCACTGTCATGACCTTAGCTGGAATTGCCTAAGGCGTTCGGCACCCTTGCGGCCAAAGACGCGAACTTAGCTTGCGTTGCCTAAGTCGCGAGTCACTCTTGCGGCAAAGACGCGAACTTAGCTTGCGTTGCCTAAGTCGCGCTTCGCCCTTGCGATCTTGCTCCGCAAGGATCAGCCCACTTTGTAACCTCTCGCAGGTCCCGAAGGACCTGTAAAAGAGAAAGAGAGTTAGATCGAAAGAACGAGCAACGGACAAGTCCCGAAGTCTCGCGAAACGGAAAGCTTTACAAGCAATTCGTCGAACACCTT